TTTTCAGCTGTTCTACCTAACACATTGTAGAAACAGCCAGGTACGACATGGGGATGTCTGAGCCAGAGTGCAAAACTTTAAAAAGAGGTAACTTCATACTTTTATTGGTGAGACCTATTTTATAACAGTTCTCCTTTCTGGAAGCCTAGAAGGATTCATCTGCTGGAGGAAAGAATGGGAAAAAAAAACAGGGAATGAACTTTGGCCATGTAAATTCCTGTTTTGAAACATGATGCCTATAGTCAAATAGCTGCTGGACCAGTGCTTGAAGCTCAATTTCCAGTAAGATTTATCTTCAAATATTTTAGCTTAGATGGGCAAAATACTATTGTCTGATGAGTATTATAACTTGGAATATTTTAAAAATTAAGTCCTGGAGAATCAGCTTCTTCCTAGTTGTGGTACATACCCAGTTATGATTCACATTTTGTACAAACTTGTTCTCTCATATGGTACATTTTAAAGTTACTTAGAAAAGAATTCCTAAAAAAAAGATAATTTAATGTGCTTCCTGAGGTGAAAAAGGGATAACAGCTGCAAAAAATCTTTTGATGAAGATGCAGAATATCTGAAATACATGGATACAGTAGATCAGCAAGATAATCAGAAAAGTATGCAGTAAAACATATGAATAATAAGAATAGAGCTATCAATAAAAAGAGAATGTCAAGTTGGAAAATGCATATTTTGCTTTAAAGCCAGCAAAATTAGTGTTGAGGTTCTAATTTTTCCAAAATACAGTAAGATATGAACAGCAAATATGGAGTTAAACCAACAGTCCATCTAACCTACTGTTTTCTTCTCACCAATGGGCATGATGAGATGCTATATAGAGAAGAGTATAAGGGCAGAATAAACATGGACTATTCCAGACCAAGGAGTGTGGCAGGAAGGGGGGAAAGTCATGGGGTGGCTCATTTAGACTTCTCTCCATCAGGTTGCCAAGGACATTAGTGTCCAAGTCTTCAGCTGCCTCCATAGAATCATGGAATTGTTAGGGTTGGAAAGGACCTCAAGATCACCCAGCTCCAACACCCCTGCCATGGGCAGGGACACCTCACACTAAACCATGTCACCCAAGGCTTTGTCCAACCTGGCCTTGAACACCACCAGGGACAGAGCATACACAACTTCCCTGGGCAACCCATTCCAGTGCCTCACCATCCTCACAGTAAAGAACTTCCTCCTTATATCCAATCCAAACTTCCCCTGCTTAAGTTTTAACCCATTACCCCTTGTGCTATCACTACAGTCCCTAGTGAAGAGTCCCTCTCAAGCATCCCTATAGGCCCCCTTCACATACTGGAAGGCTGCTATGAGGTCTCCACGCAGACTTCTCTTCTCCAGGCTGAACAGCTCCAACTTCCTCAACCTGTCTTCATACGGGAGGTGCTCCAGTCTCCTCATCATCCTCGTGGCCCTTCTCCGGACTTGTTCCAACAGTTCCATGTCCTTTTCATGTTGAGGACACCAGAACTGCACACAATACTCCAGGTGAGGTCTCACAAGAGCAGAGTAGAGGGGCAGGATCACCTCCTTCGACCAGCTGGTCACGCTCCTTTTGATGCAGCCCAGGATACAGTTGGCTTTCTGGGCTGCAAGCACACACTGAAGGCAGCTCATGTTCATTTTCTCATCAGCCAACACCCCCAAGTCCTTCTCTGCAGGGCTGCTCTGAATCTCTTCTCTGCCCAACCTGTAGCTGTGCCTGGGATTGCTCCGACCCAGGTGTAGGACCTTGCATTTGGCATGGTTAAACCTCATGAGGTTGGCATCAGCCCACCTCACAAGCATGTCGAGGTCCCTCTGGATGGCATTCCTTCCCTCCAGTGTATCAACCGAACCACGCAGCTTGGTGTCATCGGCAAACTTGCTGAGGGCGCACTCAATCCCACTGTCCATGTCAGCAACAAAGATGTTGAACAAGACCGGTCCCAACACCGATCCCTGAGGGACACCACTCGTTACTGGTCTCCAGCTGGACATTGAGCCATTGACCACAACTCTTTGTGTGCGGCCATCCAGCCAGTTCTTTATCCACCAAGTGGTCCATCATTCAAATTGATGTCTCTCCAATTTAGAGACAAGGATGTCGTGTGGGACAGTGTTGAACGCTTTACACAAGTCCAGGTAGATGACATCAACTGCTCTACCCCTGTCCATCAGTTCTGTAGCCCTATCATAGAAGGCCACCAAATTAGTCAGGCAGGATTTCCCTTTAGTGAAGCCATGCTGGCTGTCACCAAGCACCTTGTTGTTTTTCATGTGCCTTAGCATGCCTTCCAGGAGAATCTGCTCCAAGATTTTGCCAGGCACAGAGGTGATACTGACTGGTCTGTAATTCCCTGGGTCATCCATTTTCCCCTTCTTGAAAATGGGGGTTATATTTCCCTTTTTCCAGTCATCGGGAACTTTACCTGACGGCCATGATTTTTTAAATATGATGGACAGTGGCTTAGCAACTTCATTCGCCAGCTCCTTCAGGACCCGCAGACGGATT